CCTTTTTAATATATTTTTAATATATACGTGTACATATATATATTTTTTTAACAGTTTCTTTTCAAAATATTTGGTTTTAATTGTTTGAAAACAGATTTTATTAATTTTTTTACTATACGTAAAAACATTTTTTTTAAATTTTTTTTTAATTGTCTGAAAAGAGAATTTCTTAAATAGAATTTCTTAATTTTTTTGTTCTTTTTAATTTTCTGAAGAGTGATAATTTCTTAAATTTTCCTTTTTTTTTTAAACTTCTGAACAGCGATAATTTCTTAAATAGAGCTTCTTAATTTTTTTTTTTTAATAAATTTTTTTGCTGTTTTGAAAAGAGAATTTTTTAATTTTTTCTTTAATTTTTTTTTTTAATTTATTCTGAAAAAAGAATTTTCCAAATAGAATATCTTATACAATATTTTTTAATTTTCTTAAATTTCTTTGAAAAGAAATGAAAGGGAGCTTTAATTTTAAAATAAAAGCTTCTCGTCTATTCGATGTTCCAAAAATGTAGTAATATTTTCTATAATTGTTTTTCTTAGTTGTCAAATTCGTTTCCTTCGAATATTATTTTGTAATTGCTTAAAAAAAAAAATAAATAAATTTTTCCAAAAATAAATGTATTAATTAATGCACATATGCGACCTAAAAACTATAAAAGTGTTCCATCCTTCTATTGACGTATTGTACATATAGATGTATATAAATCGTCTTATATTGTGAAAAAAGTTATAATATTTGAAAAGAAATCATATATGAATTTTAAAATCAATCAACTGTCAGACCGCACTGAGACGCAAGTACTAAAAATACTTGTTTTTGTTTATTTTATCCGTGTATACAATTTGTTTTTGTTGTTTTGAAAATAGAAAGAAATGGAAAGAAATGTTTTTTGAACTTAATACATTTATTGCTTGAACGACTTGGAACGACAATTGAAGAGAATCGTTTAGAAAAGGAAAAACGCTTCCCTTCTTATAAGTGCCCTTTTGCTGTATTTTGTAGTCCCTTGTACAGATTTTTCCCTAACGAAACATTACATTTGAATGAAAAGCTTGAACAACATGAACAGCGTGAACAACATGAATAGCGTGAACAACATGAACATCGCGAACGACATGAAGAGCGTGAAAACTGTTTCTTTTTCTACTGCAGACTCCTTACCTCCGCCAATAAACTCTGATTTTCCACTTCTGAACGCTTTAAAAAGGCTTTCCATCAGGAAAAAGTAGCGACAAAGTTGGATACATGTAACTAACATAAAAGCCACTCCCTTATTGAGCCATTTGTCAAAATTCATAGTATTACACCAGAACTTATTTGCTTAAGGATTAAAAGGACAACAACGGAAGAGAGATTGACTGAATCGACTGAGAAGCTTTTTTTATAATTGATTGAGAACCAGATTCAAGAACAAAGATCTTTGAAGATTTTCTGCACTTGTTTCTTTCGCATATAATACTGCAACAGCTATCATTCGTAATTATCGTAGAAGTACGAGTCATACCAACTCTTCCAAGTGGTCAGGTTAATTTACCCAATTTTATGGGTCGACTCTTTTTATCTCCAAATCTCTAATTAAGCCCGAAACATAGAAAGCGTATAAGACAAAGCTCATATATTTTTAGTGTTAGATTTTCCGCATCCCTCAATTTGACGGGTTTTGTGGTCTCCAGCTCAAACATTCTGCACAAGGAAGTAGACAGCTTCAGAGGTTTTTAATGATTCAAGACAGCATACATATGCACGTCCACTGTTTTGTTTATAAATGGGGCGTGTCTATTTTGATCGAAACCCGTCTATTTGACTGGTAACTTTTGTGAATCATCACCGCCGCAAAAGTAAAGGTACGAAAGTGAAATATTCGATAAACATAAACAACATAAAGACTAAAACAACTTCGAAAAACTCCGACAAAATTTGTAAATCGTCATCTATAGCTTTCGTTGCAAAAATTGTTTTGATCGGTTTAGTATTAGGTCCGTACTTAATGGTAAAATTTCCATTCCACCTTATTTCCAATTTCTTATGCTAAAAAAGTGTCACTAATCTAATGGGACATAATGAAGCGTGAAATTCTTGTTCAAAAAATAAGGGTGGGGAACGGTTATTGTAATCACATAGCTGATTAGCGTAGGATTCTACCTTGTGTTGGTTATGTCCACATGTTACTTGGAGTTCTTAAGATTACAAAATTCAAATAAAAACTTCGGAAAACTTATTTATCAAGCGATTACATAAATCCAGTTCAAAAAGCTCACAGCGCCATCTGTAAATATTGGAACTTGCAAATGATTTGCTAGTTGTTTCCAATACTTGATAGAATCATTTAGATATGACAACATGATATAATTATTTGTGTTTAAAATCTATTAGGGAATATCTGGTTAGGAAAACCTAGCTTTCGTTTTCTAATTTATTCCTCATTCAAAACGTTTCTATTTAAGAGTCAGCTGCATGATCTTATTGAGAGCCGGAGAACTTTCTACGAATAAGGTAACCGAATCACATGTTAGTGTGAAATAGAAATAGAAACCTTAGGTGCGGAGGTGCGGCTTAGGAATACTAAAGATAGATGTCTGACTCTATTTACGCAATGGCATCTGAATGCAATGTAGAAAGATATACACGCATGACCTACACGACCCGGTTTTTAGCAATCGATATCGTGTAAACGCGATTGTAATTCGAATGTGTTGCTCGCCAGCGATTTCGTACTGCCAAGATTTTTCCTAGGATAGTAAGAAAAATGCATACTTTGTCGGCAGGCGAACACTCACTACGACTCGATAAAGAACATTTATCAAGTTTACTCGATATCGATAGTTACAAACTGGTCCGTGTCTTTCCGATAATAGTTCTCAGGATTTAATTACCTCTAGATGACAGAAAAGAAAAAAAAAAGATTAAGTCAAGTATAACTTCTTCACTTTATCGAATTTTGAGAAATTTTTCTTTAATAAAAACGAAACATTTATTAATAATTGTCAATAAACTAATGAAACAAAAAAACTATTATTCGATTAGCAGCAAATCTCGATTGTTGGAATGAATTTTTACAAATCAGTCCGATAGAAAATGCACCAACGACAACCTCAACTGCAACAGGAACAGCAACAACAGCTTTGACGCATCAACAGCAGTTACCGCAAAGGGATAATTTAAAGCAGGAAGACTGTAAACAGCAATTGCACTTACACTTGATACAATCGCAACAACAACAACCGCATCAACAGCAACAACAGCAGCAGCAACAACAACAACAAACGCCACAAAATATCATAATAAACGCTGTGCCATTGATAACAATACAAAGTAATAATAAACAATTATTAATACCGACAGTGCAACATCAGCAGCAGCAGCAACAACAACAATCGAGCAATGTAAAACTATTAAATTCTCAAGGAGCTAAAGTGACGACAGTAAAATTACCACCGCTAACGAATGCGACGACCATAAGAATTGCAGAACATAATAATAAACAGCAATCGAAGCAACAACAGCAGCAACAAAATTTGGAAAGTCTCCAAAATTATCAAAATATACTGCATCAACAATCGCACTCAAACAATAAAAGGCATTTGACAAATCCCACGACAAACTCGCAAATCGAATCAAAGAGATTGAAAAATAATGCAGGAGCAACTATTGAGTCAATACAAAATAATAATGAATCAAGTATACTAGAAAAGGCAACAGGAACAACAACATCAGCAACGACAGCAACGCCAACAAAGACATCGACCAATACAACCCAATTGCTGCAACAATTGATACAAACGACTAATAAACCGCAGAAACAGCAAACAGATTACAAAAGCAGAAGCAATTACGATACGATTAAGGATAACCGATATGGCGCTGCTGATGACGGTGGCGGCGGTGGGAGCAGTGGCGGTCGTAATATGATTAGATGGTCAATCAATGGCAATAATAAGCTCACAAATCGGCTTAACACTATCGGAGAACAGCAAAAACAACAGCAGCAGCAGCAGCAGCGTCAACATCAACATCCACATCAAAAAGCGATTCAAAAGGAACAACAATCGAATTCAGTTTTAAAAAATCTTTTAATCAGCGGATGCGATGTAAGTGCAGGTTATTGCATTGTACCAATGCGGGCAAAAGCCAAACTAGCTAAAGCATAATAATACTACGTTTCCCACCTTTTGCACCGTAAATAAGAAAAAAAAAAAAAAAAAAAACGAAAATTGATTGCATAAGGGATGCAACACCTGCTCCTCTTAAAAAAAAACTTAAAACAAAAAACACTTGAGCTCTGGTTAGCGCAGAACGATAACCAACGATTGATTTTTAGAAATTTTCTCTTTTCTCTATTATCATAAATGGATCGATTTTATATATATATATATATTTTCTATATATATGAATTCAATAAATAGTTAATTTCTTTATAAATTTAATTTATTTTAAGGTAATTTAAGCTATTCTAAGCATAGTCGTACGCAATATTTTTAGAACTAACATGATAGAGGTACACTAGTACGATATTTAGATACACACATATAAATATATAAATCTAGGGCTAAGTTTTCTATATATATATATATGTACGTATGGAACGAGTATTATTCACAAACTCGTTCGGCCATCATTTTTAAGAGAATTTAATATCAGTTGTTACTAAAGACTCGTCGTTTACAAATTGCTATAAATTCGTAAGCCAGCCTAGGCTAAAACTGTTGGGGAGAAAATTCCTTTTATTCTCTGATTTGGCAAAAAATTTTTTTTTTCAAGTTCAGTTCAAATTAAATTCAAATTAATTATTATTCTTTTTTTTGTTTTTTTAATATTTTCGTTTAGGTTTCACGTAGACCTCCTTGAAGAGAAATGCATTTGTAAGACTAATGGAAACTTCTGAGATGAACTATTTTCTTTTCTCCTATACTCCTACCATTCAAATTCATTCACAGGAATTGACATGGAAAAGTGAAACTAAAAATATATGGTTTAATTTTTCTATATACATCAGTTTGAACTTACTTTTCAATTTTGATGCAAAAATAGCTGTGATCAGTCACTACTTAACACAAAGTTTCCCAATTTTTGTATATTTGTTGGAAATTTTCATTTCTTCCCTCTCTAATATTGTGAACCTAAACTGTTAGGTTGTTCGGAAAGTCATTTCGTTTTTCTTTTTTTCCCCAGTAGAGGAGTTAGTTGTATTTCTTCTAAATTAAGTTTACACTCTAGAAGTCTTTGTCATTATATATCTTGATAGCTGATAGACAAGAGTTTCTCTGTGACTAAACCCATCATATCCCCAATTAACTATGTGATGGGCGCTCATTGGCAATTGCGTTAGATTTGTTCGGTTTCGTTACTGCAGGTCTCCGCGAGGTAGTGCCCTTTTAACAGCGATGACTTGCTTAATAAAAGTTCTCTGCCATCAAGCGAAACTTTCCCCAAAACAACTTGCGAACAAACATTACAGCATTGTTTCTCTGGAATATTTTTAAAACAGATCGCCTCGAGAGGACTAGATGTGAGTAACAATTTTCCTTTAACACGAGATATCTGTCAATCGCCGGCCGATTCTCTCCGAATTTGTGTTCTTACCATTTAATTTTTCGTTTTATCTATATATTTTAAACATTGTATATATATATATATTTGAAAAAAAAAAAAAATTAATGAATTTTTTTTCTAAAGCAACAATAATTATCATTAATCAAGAGCGTTTGAATTAATAATAATAAATATTTATATATATCATATAAATATCTCAAATTCTTATTGCTTTTTGTATATAGCAAAAACGCAAAACTTATATATATATATATATATATATATAGAATATTTTAATGTTACTTTTTCTTTCATTTAGCTTAAATATAAATATTTTCTCTTCTAGGTTTTTGTTATTTAATATAGTTTTTTTTTAATAAAAAAAAAAATAAAAAAAATTTTAAAAGAAAAATATCACATTGATTGTGTGTAAAGCGAACAAATAATAAAAAAAAATGTTTTCATAACTATCCGGAAAACCTCTTATTTAAAACGTAAGAGTTTTGTTTCTTTTTTTGGTATTTATTTATAATGTTTTCATAACTATCCGGAAAACCTCTTATTTAAAACGTAAGAGTTTTGTTTCTTTTTTTGGTATTTATTTATTTGCTTTTTTTTTTTGGTTGATTTTTGCTTGTTGTTGTTATAACCCTACACGAGTGGCGATAGAAGATACATGGAGGAAGGATATATTAAGTTTGTGTGGCCGTATGTAACGCCCGGGACCCACCTTTCTACCCCTACTCTAAACGATTTAGAATCGCTTTAAGCTTCTCTGTCCCCCTGTCCGTTTAGTTTTTTGTGTTGAACCCCATAAATTTTGAGTTATTGAAACTCGCCGCACCGACATGTTTTGGCCCAGGGACGTACGCCAATGAAAATAGCTCGGATTGCAACACTCTTGGCGCCACTTCCTACATAAAGCCCGTCTTTGGAAAAGTCGTTATATGAATACCTCTGGGGTGATATAGGACGTTGATCCACTATAACGTTTTTAATTGCTTTTTTATAAAATGTTTCGTATTTCCTTTCGAGGTATGCCCCATCAATTCTCTCTTATTCTTTTCTAAATGGACGTGATTCTAGTTGAAATCTTTTTGTACAACACTTGAACAGATATGGTAGATTTCATTTTTCAGTGTAGGAAAATCTTACAACAGTGCTATAAATATTTGTTCCTAAGTTTATAACTGAATTATACTTACTTAGTTATTTTCGTTTGTGAACGATATAATCTGTATATATTCTCAGATGATTTGCAAGTTCCATTATGGGCTAAATTGAAGAGAAAATCCGTCCGTCCACAATGGCTATAGAAATCTAACCGCAAATTATACCGGACGTCGATTTGTTATTTGCAATGAATTATTTGCATTGTGTTGAAATATTGAGCTTAAATTAAAACATCTAAGCGATTTCCATAACATCTTCAAATTATAACAGTCTGAGCATTATTGAAAATTTTTTCAAATTCCACCTCGTGTTCCTCGTTAAGAATATTTTTATACATTTCTGTTTCTTTTTACATGCCGGACGAGAATATTTTTTGCTTTTTAATTCATTCATTTCCATCAAAAGATTGTAAAACGTATAATAAACACTGTCCAGCTTTCCAGCCTCAATATAATCGAAGTTCAAATGCTATTACTGTAACCCTTTTTTTTATTAGTTTCTTGCGATATGTACTGTTCTGACGTCTCCAGTATTCGCCGTTACACCCTAAAGTGCATTAATGGAATTATGTCTGCGTCGGCAGGCAAGCAAGACAAAAGACATTATGTCCTACCATTGCTATGAATAAATTACCCGATTACACCTTCACCTATGTTGAAGGCTTAACTAATACCTCTGCTTTTTTATGCTTGAGGCACCTTCTAAGCGCCATGTAATTCCATGTCGCGTATAATAGTAATAATGAAATAGTTGCGCTGGGAGCTTTCATTAACGTTACGAGTGAAAATATATCCGAAAGCCATCATCAAAAGTATCAAGGGGTATTGATAGCTTTAGTGAAACTTTGTAGCTCCCATTAGTTAGTTGTTTAAAGAAGTAAGAAGGATTCAACGAGACTGCCTAACAGGGTCTGCATCAGGCAATGCAAATGAACATAACTTTCCCCCTTTTGACGGCAAGACTCAACACGCGCATATTCACTGGACCCAGAGAAATGGGTTCAAGGATCATACGCTTTATATCAATCTGGCACCATTGTGAGGATTGTCGCACTCGATGGAGGCTTAAACAATCCACTATGTCTGCGGATATTGTAAAGTTAAGTCATAAGGCAGACAGACATTCACGTTAAGTCTCTCGCATAACCCTGTATAATTCACGTGAAACGTTCTCGCTTTGACATCTTGGCTCTGCCCAACGACATATGTTTTAACTTGGACCGTTAATCGTATTCCCAGTAGGATAATCTCCTTTGAAATCGTGAACTACGTTCTCAAGTTGAACATTGTTCTTCTTAGAAGAAAGGTTTCACATCTAATTTCTTGAATAAATCATGAATCGTACGCGAAGTATTGGTGTATTTTTTAAAAGGCCGCCATAGACCATATCGCATTAGTCAGGTAAATGTTTAAAAAGTCAACTTATTATGCTTCAACTGCCTGAAATGCATTGAAAGCTTTCTAACTCGCTTAACCGTCCGTTTTGAGGCAAGTGTTCAGTGAAGTACGAAGTGAAGAATAATTTCTCCGTTCATTTTGTTTGTGGCCGGTGCAGCTTAATAATATATAATCTTCATAATAGTAATTAAACATATACTTGATAAGAAACTGAAGCATAGAGTGAATGTTTCCTTTTTTTTGATTTCATTTCATTGCACAAAATGAAACCCACAAATAACAATATTTACTACCTCTTTAAAACGAACGAACAAACACAAATAAAAGCAAACAAAAATAATAAACAAATCATAGTGCAAATCTTAGATAAATTATATAGTTAAAATTTTCGACAAATATTCCCTAAACAGTTTATCGAAATATATAACAACAAAATGAGCGCTAAAGGTACAAAAAGACAAACAAATAACATGAAAAAAACAAAAAAAAAAAAAAAATTCAAATCAAAATTATCAAAATATATTAAAAGACAAGAAAAACAAAGAAGAAGAAAAAGAAAGAAAAAAATGATTTAAATAAATTCTCAAAATATATGATTTAGCAAAAATGATAAAAGTCTCTCCCTTACATACCAAACCAAATGCAAACTATAAACGATTTAGTCCAATATTGAAAAATAATTATTCGTGTTTATGCTCTACTATATATATGTATGTATATATATATATATATATATACGTAGAGAAAGTACAATTTAGTGAAAAAGAAAATCTTGAATATAAACATTTATTAGATAACCTTAATTACCTCAAAATTTTAAAGTGATGTTGGTCAGCTTTTTTAAAGTTAAAAAACAAACGAGAAGAAAGTAAAGAATGCGCGAAAAGTGTGAAAAGAAAATCATAGAAAACATAAACTATATAAAGGCGAATAAATAAAATTTGTTAATGTTATTTTTAATGAATGATTTTTTATTTACTCTTTTTTTT